ACAATTATGTATCATACATAAAATTATTGTCATGCCACCACTTGGATGCAGCAGCGACACAGCTCTCACCATCAACAACAATGTCATCAGTTTAATTCAGAAGATTTTAAGTAGGAGAAGAAGAGTAAGACTTTATAAAACAGAAAATAAAATAAAATGAAAATAAAAATAAAAATTCTTACATAATTATACAGAGCTTAGTGGAAGAGAATCAATTAATAAATGTTCTTTGTAATTTAAAATATATATAGTAAGCCTCATTGGTAAAATCATAATATTTTGTTTTGCATGGGACTAGTTTAGCAAAAGTAGATAATATCTCAAATAGTATGTGTTTGCTCATGGTATCCCATTCCCACTTTGTCACAAATCGTTAGTATTGTTTGAAACTTCATGAATATGAACCCCGCATGTGATTTGAGTATGATAATCTTTTCTTAGGGATGAGTATTTTACCCTAAAAATGCTGACCAATCATCGATGTTCACTAAAAGAATTACATCAATACCCGATGGATAAATTGATGGTCACAAATGTGTTTGTATTATTTTTTTTTTTTGTCTTTGTTAGTGATTGCTTTTTTGATGGCATTTAAAAACGACAGTTTTTCGATGGCTCTGAGAGTAACTTCTTAGCAATTAATTATTGATGGGCTATGAAGCCATCAGTTATTAACAAATTAGAAAATGATGGTTAATAATTGTCAGAAAGCATTTGGAAAGACGTAATATACCAAAATAACGACCTAAATATCTCATTTTCCTTTTCCCTCCTGCACACTTTCTTAAATTTTGACTTACCTATATGAGGGCAGGTTTCGATGTCCATGTTCGAAACACGGGAATCAAGCATACTTAATGTCTAACTAAGTAAGGTATGATTTACGTCGTCAGAGATTTCAATCAGATTCTTAGTTTTAGATTTTACATGAAAATGTTGACCCTTCAATTAACTCTACTTCTTCAATGAGCCATGATCCTCTATGTGAGTTTAACTAAAGTGGATTTGTTGAATTGGTCTTCAATGGAACAAGACCTTATTATTCGAGTTAAGTGGAGAAAGAGCTACTAAACTAAGAAGCTTGGATGTTTTATGAATTACAGAATGTGTCATAAAGACCATTCTAAAAAGATCGTACATCCAATTCTTAGTTATCTGTAATTCTCAGAATGTTAAAAAATGTAATAAAGTTTAACATGTCCCAAGATTGCTTTAATCAGGTTGTAAGATACCGAAAGAGTCAAATTCTAAGGAAAATTTAGTTCCACAAAACTTATATAGAACAAAAAGCTAATCTACAAGTTAGGTTTTGAGATCAGAAAAGATTGATTGTTATTTCAACATATGCTTATTATTTTATAAGACTGATGCAACAGTGATTCATAATTAAGCAAAGTAAGATGCAGAAAAAAGTTTCATACATATACCTCTTTTATTTGTCACTTATTACACGTCTTTAAAAATTGTTTGCTCGTATGCGTACTGCTCTACATATGAGATGACATCATAACATATTTTAGTTTGTGAATTGTACCTTACATTTTATATCATACTTTTATTTAATTTTATATGTGTGGTAATTATTTATTCTTTACTTATTGGGGCTGACGATGATCTCCCTATACACAGGGGACACCGTCATTGTCATGATTGGGAGAAGGCTCTCATCAGATAGAGACAAACATTTCAGTATTGCTTTCTAACACATACATTGTTTCTTTCGCTCCCACCCACAAGCTTTCAACCCGATGTTGTCACTCACACCACACACCCTATCTTACACCCTTCTCCTTCCACCATACCATCACCATTGCTTATTACTGCGACAGGGTCTTTTGCTCTTGTGGTAGGGCTTGCTAATATTGTCTATTGAGATGCATCGGGCAACACAAGCAGTACGTTCGAGCTAGAGCAAGTTGAAAAGTTTTTAAATTACAATAAAAAATAGTTCTAATTAATTACAAATTTATATTTATAAAGTTAACTATATTTTCTTTTAGATTGTATCCCTCTACGCAGGTTGTCCATGTTATTAGTGATATCATACAGAGCAAATACGATGCTTGGTACCTATCATGGAAAAAGATCCCAATAGAAGGTCAAGTTATATGATTCAGAGAGTTTAGGGTATGCCTAGGCATTAATCTTAAACTAAATATATAATTTTATCCAACATATTTACATTTATTTTGTAGAAGTAGTTCTCCTAGCGCCCCGAGCATAATGCACGCATCAAGAGGAGCTTCTTGAATTTAATTTTGCTTCTAAATATTTTTATAATTCTTTTTTGTAGAAAACCTTCGAGCAGCTGAAGGAGTGCGAACTTGGCCCACAAAATGACATACAATCCTGTGTCATGATCATTATGACATACAATCCTGTGTCGTGATCAGTTTGACCATGAGCTATGGAGAGAGACTGCTGAGGGAAAGAAGAAAGGAAGGGTTAATGAAATTGGTTCGCAAGCACAAGCATACAACTTAATGAAATTGGTTCGCAAGCACAAGCATTCGACGCACATCACTCCTTTGCTGCAATCAGTGATAAAGACCTGATTTGTTGCTAAGCAAACTGAGACAATGTCTGAATTAGAGGCCAAAATGAAAATGGAATTAGATGCGTTACGAAGTCAAGCACACATGAGAGGGAAATGGCTGTTGGAAGAGGAGATGGATGATTGTTAGAACTTGTCTCTTTTTAGGGCACATATTTACACGTGTTTTATGAAATGATGGATAATTATTTCATTTTCTAGTTCAATGCATTGCGATAATTTTTATTTTCAATTTGTGAGTTCATTCATTTTGTTTTAGTTTAATAGCTATATATTTGTACTGATAAATAAGATTCTGCAATGTACGAATTTTTCTAATACGATTGCAGGTATATAAATTGTAATAAAAAAGAAGATTCTTTTTTTTTAAATGTACAACTTTCTGATGGTCTCTTGACAACGTAGTGTCGTGCTATCGATCCATAGAACATCGGTGAGAAAAATCGTTGTTTGAAGAGCCGATGATTACTCATTTTTCATGAACTTATGAATATAAGTCATTAGCAAGCCGCCATAACATAAAATACGTCGGGCGAGGGATTTTCGACAAGCGAAAAAGCATCAGTATTTAACTAACCGACGAATTTTTTATATTCCTAATGATTTTTTTATCATCAAAATTAGTTTAAATTCTTTTAGTGATTTATCAATATCTTTTTCGCCAACTTCATATTGGTTCTATTGTCTTTTTGAAATTACTGTTTATCTTATGGAAGTCTAATTGTCAACAGTGAAAATAAAAATAAATTGATATCAAACTACATTTTATTAAGATCAATGTGTCATGGGATTTATATTTATATGCGCGCTCAAAGGTTGCATGTATAGGAGTGTAAGTGAGTCAAGCCGATTTGAGGGCCAGTTCGAGTTCGGCTCCATAAGCGGCTCGTGAACTTAGTTCGATGAGCTAACAAGCCAAACTCAAGCTCGCCCCAACACGTCTCATTAGCACGTGAGACGTCTCATTTTTTAAAAAAATATTAATATAAAATAAAATTGAAATGTATTAAATATAAAGTCTTTTGATTTAAAGCATTAAAATGTTAAAAAAATAGTATTTTTTATTTTATGTGGAAGAAAATAAATCAAGCTGCTCGGATGCATTTTATATTTAAAAATATAAAATAATTAAAGTAAAACATAAATATCTAACATTCCAAAACACTTCAATTAGAAACAAAACTATAAATCCATTATTTTTTCAAAAGCTTTACACATCCTCAAAATATAAATATGTATATTTTTACACCTTATTATATCATCTAATAAACTTACAAAACCCATGCGTATTATTATATTCTTATAAAAATTAAGAATAATGCTCTTCATACACGTCGTAGATCATATCAAAGACCACATTATCCATATCATTTGATGATTTTAACATATAAATTTACAATATTACGGAAAAAAAACAAAAATATTTACATTCGGTGAGTTGTTTGATTCAAGGACTAAGGCTAATCCAACATAAAAGAGACATCAACTTGTCTCTCGTTACGTCCCAACTCTAGGGAAGAATAAAATATCATAAATCATCTTCCAGATGCCCATGACATTCCTTATCCGGGGCCAAGAGTTGGAAATAACATAACCAACGAAATCCCAAACGAACCCCCCTTGTCGAGGAATGATCAACTATGTGTCAGATTACGATGATTCACCCTCTGTGTGATAGCTTAGCTTCATTCTTTCGAAAGGAGCTTCTCATCAAGGGATTAATAGCTGACAACCAAAATAATTGATCGACAAAGCCAAGCCGATCAAGCCGAGTATTTTCTACTCGAAGACTATCAAAGACTATACTTACAACACCAATTTAGTAAAATCAAACGTACATGCCTTGCCAAACCAATACCAATCGATCTGAGTCGCATGCATATATATATAAAATATCTAAAATATTTTATAAAACTCTCATTAAACTTGGTACAAACATGTAATTTTATATATTGTACTCCTCGTCTATAAATAAAGAAATCATTCTATTAGAAAATGGTTAACCAACAATTTAGATTACTACTCATTACTATGAATTTTGTCTCTCTGTCTCTCTCTCTTGTCTTACACCCTATCCCTTGACTATGATTCATTAACAAATCAATATTCTACATCATGCCACCCACATGTACCACATCACATAAAACATGTCACAACTATGATTTGTAGCAACAAATCTACAACATGTAAAATACATAGAAATGGAGTGACATGCCTACAAACCTTCTTAATAATAACTTGCTACAACATTCAACTATTCTATAAGAAAAAAAAAATCATTTTTTAAAAAAAAATAATTTCACGTGAAGTGGTTCCTACAAATAAGGAGTGCGGGCCACACTAAAATCTCTAAAATCTACTCTCATCCAATTATATCTCATCGCCCACGTGATCCCTCCCCGGCCCCTCATCCTCTTTAACCCCCTCCTCCTCCTTTTTAACCTCCCTCCAACCTCCCCATCTCCGGCCATCCACCACCCCCCTCCTCCCTCATCTCCGGCCATCCACCACCTCATGTCAGAATCCTCCGCTTCCTACATCCGAATGGTACGCCATTAATATCATGATCATGACTCATATATTATATATATTTATATTCATGATTAATCTTAATCTTAAGCCCCACTGCTCTGATATTATAAATTTTTATATAATAAAAATAAAAAATAATTAACTTATTAATATGCATGCAGGTGCAGCACCTGATAGAGAAGTGTCTGCTCCGCCGCATGAACAAGGAGGAGTGCATGGAGGCCCTCAACAAACATGCTAACATCAAACCAGTCATCACTTCAACAGGTATGTATTTATCAAATCCATTTGATTTATTATTATTATTTTTTTATTTAATTAAATATTGTCAATAATACGTGAAGTATGGGGAGAGCTGAAGAAAGAAAACAGGGATTTTTTTGCGGCTTATGAGAGGGAGAAGGAGGAGGAGCGGACGGCGGAGATTGAAGCCGCGCAGAGGAATGGGGAAGAGTCCGGCGGCGAGGATTGATTGCATGGGAATGGCATGACTGCGTAAATTTAAGTGGTAGGGGAGGGTAGGGAGGTAAAATAGGAGGAGTTGTACGTACTGAGAGAGATGGGATTGTGCTTCTGTGTAAAAAGTTGGTGTTGGGTATACTATTAAAGTATGGATGTAACTATTCCTTCGTATTGTATGGTCCCACTTCGTCTCCTGCTTTCTAGTGCTTTCCGTTGAAGTTGACATGGCTTTTTGGCTTTCTCCTCTATCTTAATAATAGTTTTAGTTATATATACATATTGGCAATGTGTAAATTTCTTTTTTAGGAATATTTACATATAAACCAATCAACTTCTATGTATTTACTTGTGTAAAAGCTTAAGTTTTATGTATAAAAGTATGTCTTTTACATTTTTTTAAAGTTAAAATGGTGATATTTTGATGTGATACGAAAGATTGAGATGGTATGGATGGAAAAAAAAATAAAGTTTATGTGTTAGATATATAGATATATATGCATAGCACGGTTTTTATGTAAATAATGCCCCTTTTATTTTTCAAAAATTTTGGCAATTAAAGTCTTTATTGTTCATAGAAAAACTCTAGTTTCTCCATTGAAGTTTGGAAAGTTAACTTAACTTGCACCCAAACTTTGATTTTTATGTGATAAACACCCTAATCTATGCATAAAAAGATAGAATATACTATTTCTTACCTTTCCATAAATAGGAAAGTAGACTTGCTATGTAAAAATTAAAGTTTGGGTGTGAGAAGTAAATGCAATGTTTATGTGTGTATCATTATACAATACAAAACCAAAAAATTTTCGCTCTATCTTTTGGTAAAATACTTTGAATAGGATTTAAGTTAGATTTAACGTAAATCCAGTCAAACATAAGTCAGTTAGATAAATGCTGCTAAGTTAATTAAATTTATTTTTTTGTTCTATTTATTAAAGCTGAATTTATTATATCTAATTATTAGTTGGGTTTAATGGAATTAACACAAGAAAAAAAAATATTTCAAATAGATTTGTCAAACTTATCAAATAAATTTAGCTGAATTTATCGTTAATTGAACCTTAATTGAACCAACTATTATTTCTGATTTAATAATATTTGGATTTGATAAATTGGAATAAACGAGATTTATTAAATCCTACTTATAGCTAAACACCCCTAAATAAAAACACAATTAAGCCATTAGGCTTTATTGGATGCTCTAAATAACTTAAAAAAATTGAATTGAAATTTTTTGTTCAAAATTTAATGGGTCTGAACTTTAAAATGAATTAAAATTAGGTTCGATTGAGTGCAATTTGATAAGAATATATTACTATATTTAATTTAATATGAGAAAAGTTCAATAATTGCATAGTTAATTAAAATTTTTTAATTACAACAATTATGGCATAAATTTATTTAATTTTAGAATTAGTTCTAATTATAATATTATGAACTTTAATCATAACTTTTTCCTTTAAAAATTTTAATATTTTAAATAATTATTCATATTATAATCTCAAGAAGATGCTGCTGAAGTGCATCGAATAAGTCCGGCCGCCCTCTTCCTCCATTCGAACCATCCTCCGACGGCGGCGGGGCAAATAAAGGAGAAGAGCTCGCCCAGCAATGGAATCCCTCTCTTTCTCCAAAACACTCTATCACTCCTTCCCTCATCTCCCAATTTCTTCTCGCTTTCCTTCCTCCGTTTCCCCAAAATCCCGTATCTTAAAGCCCTTTCCAAAAACCCTAACCTTGATTCGCTCCTCCCACCAAACCCCCACCCAAACCCTACAATCTCTATCCGTCTTTCTCAAACCAGCCATTCTATCCCTTACCGCTGCTGCTGCTGTCTTTTTCTCCCGCCGCTCCCTCCCATCCCTCGCCGCTGTTGTGCACCCTCCCCCCGCCGCTCAATCCGAAAACCTTTCTTCTTCCGATGAACACAGCGAGGAAGTCCTGGAGCAGCATCTTGCCTCCCATCCCGACGATGTCGACTCCCTCCGAGCTCTCGTCCAACTCAAAGTTAAGCAACAGAAGCTCCCCGAAGCCATCGCGGTTGTCGACCGGCTCGTCCTTCTTGACCCCACTGATCCCGAGCTCCATCTCCTGAGAGCCCACCTTCATACCTACAGCGGCGATACAGAAAAAGCACGCGAAGGATTTGAAGAGATTTTGTCGGCGAATCCTTTCGTTGTCGAGGCTTATCATGGGCTCGTCATGGCTGCGTCGCGCTCTGTTGATATGAAGGAGCTTGATCGGGTTGTAGAGAGGGTTGAGGGAGTTATTCAGCGTTGCAAGAAAGAGAATAGGTGGAAGGAGTTGAGAGATTTTAAGCTTTTGGTGGCACAGGTTTTGATTATTGAGGGTAAGTATCAGGAGGCTCTGAAGATGTATCAGGAGATGGTGAAGGATGAACCACGAGATTTCAGGCCTTATCTTTGCCAGGGAATCGTTTATACTCTGATGAGGAAGACGGACGAGGCAAATAAACATTTTAAGCAGTACAGGAAGCTTGTTCCTAAGAACCATCCCTATGCGCAATTGTTCGAGAGTAATTTGAGTGGGATTAATGCTGCCCTAAAGAAGAAGGATGACAATGTGACGGATAGTTCACTGCAGAGCTAAGATACGAGGAGGGTGTTTTCTTATGGGATGTTTGGTATGCGCTTTTCACCTGGAAATGTTTCTCTGTTAATTCAAGTTTTTCCCTGCGTATATGAGCTTGATTGTTGAGGCTAGTATTTTTTGTTTTGCAGATTTCATTGCCATACTTTTTAATGGTTGACTAGGTAGTTTTTGAATTGAGGATTCATTGTAGCCTGGAGAATTTTTTATTCCTTTCCTAAAAATATCAAAAGCAAGGTTGTAATCAATTTTAGAACTATCATTATGTTGGAGATATTGGCCTGTGCTATACTTCATGTGTGATAGTTGATATAAGGAGCTATTGCAAACAATTTAACTTGACTGAAACTTGCAGGATGTTTGGATGAGAAAAAACTTACATATTATCAATGTCGTGGAAAATAGACAACTGAAATTTCCATCAAACATTCAGTAACTCTTGATGTTCAATGATGAAGGCATATAGTATATACCAGACACTGATTAGAAAGTTGAGTCTAGCTGTGTCTTTTTTGTCTTTCAGAGATTTACTATTAGCACAAAGTATCTGAGAAGGATTATCTTCTTTGAAATTGAACTAATTCATACATATTTGGGTAGTGTTTTGTGTACGTCGTAATGAAGTTATAGCTTGGTGATAGATACTTTTGGATATTTCAAATTTGATGTTATTCAGCTAGGGATACATTTTTTCAGCATAATTAAGAATTTTTTTGCTAAACAGGTTCAGAAAGCCTAAAAAACCTTATATTTTATTCTTGATTTTTTCTACTTGATATTTTTTCAATGAGCCATCAATTTTTTTTCATGGCAAGTGATATGATAACTAAGCCTCATGACGAAGGTGCCTCGTATTATATAACCCTTATGTGCACACCTTAGGCCTCATTTCTGTTGGGTGAACATAACCTCCTCTTGGACAACTAAATTGGCTATGCCAACGTTTATAAACTTGAGGCAATCACTTATCAAGACAACTTATTTTACTCGATCATTTCCCTTACTTCTAAGCCAACTTACTTCTAAGCCAATGTGAGTTTGAATTGATCGTGTTGGCAATTCTTTGTCCAATATATTGACCTTACATGATGAAATCATGGGATTTGAACTAAGTTGATAATCCATTCCACCCATTTCTTACTTATGTATATTTGATGCCCAATCACCAATTAAGATCACATCAATATCCTTAATAAGGAGTTTTCCCGCCCAGGACCTGAGATATAGTTAATCATATGAGTTTGCTCCCATTGAAAGTGAAAATTCTCTATTATTAAAATAAATCTCGTGAATCCAATCAGTCAACCCGGCAAAAACTTTGGGACCTCGTCCTTGTTTACTTTTGACCTTCATGTGGCTTTACTGCCTAATCCTGAAGCTCTAGAAATGCAATGAAGGAAGCATGATACCATGAGCTATGAGCACCTTTCAGAGCTCACCTGTTTCTCCTGCAACCACACCCAAACCCCCCCGCCCTCTTCCTTGTTTATTTTTGACCTTCATATGGCTTTACAGCCTAATCCTGAAGCTCTAGAACAACAATGAAGGAAAGATGATACCATGAGCTACGAGCACTTTTCCCCGCAAAACAAAACTTGTTATGAAGTTATTGAAGACGTTCATTTATCATTTCACCTAACCTGATGTTATACATGGAGTCTTGCATAAATATTTCTCTTAATATTCATATAATGTGATACCTATCAAGAGGTTGCTAAAAGTGGCCTTTTTTATGTTCTTTTAAACCCTCTTACATATTTTTACCCACAGTGTGGTCCCTTTACTGTTGTACTTCTAACCTTGAGCATTGTTATGTTTAGTAACACACATGGGCACACACTTCCGTATCACCAAAAAAGTCAAAAAAAATGTTTTGCTTCATGGATGAACATTTCATGAAACTGTTAAGGTTATCTATTTAGCAATTTAGATAACCATTTGACATCCGTGTTTTTTGATGTTATACACCCTTAGTTTTTTATTATATTTTGTGATGCGTTAACTGTAATCATGCTTCTGAAAATGTTCTATTTTTCACATTCATTTCACTATTATCTTGAATAAAATTTTCATCAACAGAACTTTCTTCACCTCTAATTTCCTTGTTGCATGAAATAAAATTTGTTGCGTCGCTGAGACATGGAAGGCCCATATTTTTTTGCTTTAGTTATGAATGCTCTTATTTGACATTTACAGGAGGATTTACCTGGGTGCATGCTTTTCGCTGATGATATCCTTCTTGTGGATAAAACTAGAGAAAGAGCTCAAGAAAAAAAACTTGAATTTTGGACTTCTACTTTGGAGTCTATAGGACATCATTTGATTAGAACTAAGACTGAATACATGAAATGTAATTTTAGTAGTAGTAGCTCTATTGACAGAGTTGTAATTATAGGTGATCAAAGTATTAAAAGGTGTGAACATTCTCGAGTTTATTGCTCATAGTGACGGTGATATAGATGGGGATGTTATTAGTAGAATTCAAGTTGGTTAAGTTGGTTGATTGAAGTGGAGGAATGCTTCGGGCTTATTGTGTGATAGAAAAATATCGCTTAGATTGAAAGGAAAATTTTATAAAATGGTGGTGAAACTTGCAATACTTTATGTCTCAGCTTGTTAGCCTTTAAAAGATAAACATAAAACTAAGTTAAGTGTTACTGAAATGAGAATGCTTAGGTGGATGAGTGGTTTTGCAATAGAGATAAATGACGAAATGAATATATCCGTGATAGGGTTGGTGTAGTTTCAGTGACAGATAAAATTAGAGAGAGTCGTCTTAGATAGTTTGCTCACATTAGACACATCTGATGATCCAGTTAGGAAAGTAGATGTTTTAGATTCAACCTATTTTAAGAAAGAAAGAGGTAGACCTAGAAAGGCTAGGGCATATTGTATAAAAAATGATCTTAATTTATTAGAATTAAATGAAAATATGATACTCAATAGGACGCAATGGAGAAAAAGGATTCATGTACTTGATCTCAATTAGTGGGGTAAAGGCTTGTTGTTGTTGTTGCTGATGAGACATTGAAGGCACACAATCTTATCAATTAAATTTACTATGCATGAAATATAAACCATGTCCAACATCCATGCATATCAAATGCTCATAACTAACTTCTTTTTTGCTAAACTTAGGACAGGACAAAGTAAACCAATAAACACAATTAACAACCATACATTAACAGTTTAGATACACAAACTTAAAATAATTGGCTTGATAAGAAAATGGAAGCTCTTCACCCTAATCTCAAGACTTAATACATATAGGTGTGTGGACGAGTGAAGAAAAAAAATTTGTCTAGCTTCTCCACTTTTAGTTTGATGCTGCTATATCTGAATCTTTTAGCCACTGGAATAACCTATTAGTTGAACCATATTTCACATAACATAGTTATAAAAAAAATACCATACATTCTTATTGATCTTTTATGAAATCACTTGCATTTTCTCTTCATTAGACATCATAAGTTGTAATATTTCTCTTATAACATCCCATCCTAACTCATTCTCTCCCTTTTTCACCCCTTTTCACATTTTCCACTTTTTGCCATGTTGGTCGCACTTATTCTTTAATTGAGCCTTTATCATATTATTTCCCCTCAAGTGTGCAGAGTGTTTTATAAAGTTTTCTAGCAATTTTTTTTTGAAAATTGTTGTTGGTGGATTCCCTAGTTCAAAATATGCAGCTCAAACGATTCCGATAATGCGACTAGAGAAAAATTTCTAATTTGACCCATTGTTTTTTTTTCCGAGTTAGAGCTTAGTGAGATCAATTTATCAAAAAATTCTCTATCTTGAATCACCAATTGTATCATACAGACTTCAAAATCAGATCGTACCTGTAATTAACAGTGGCGTGTGTGATCAGAGACCAAGTAATATCCATAGTTAATAGTGTGATATGTGCTTTAAGACCAGGTAGTATTTGTGATTAACAGTGACATATGTGATCTAAGATCAGATATTATTTTAGTTAACAGTGTGATGTGTGTTTTTGGACTAGGTAGTATCTGTGACAAACTGGTGAGGACAACTATGTAAGTAACAAATGACGATTGATTGAGTTTTTTTATCTTTTTTTTCATCACTTCTCTACAATACATTTCAAAAACCAAAGATGTGAAAGTCGCACAATTCAAAATCATTAATGCTAAACCACAACAAAAACTAGGGTCAACTCTACCAACAACCAACTTTACAAAACTACAACTATACTCATAGCCAACAACCAACAAAGACAACTAAATCACACTCGTACCCACAACTAACATGGAAGAGAGACCACCATGCCAAAAAAAAGTAAACATATCACTGCATCTTTTAGTGTTTCACGAAACATTAAAGCAACTTTACTTATATATGTATATAAGAGGTTGTGCCTTGGTGCTTCCCAAGTGAATTTTATTGCCACAACCAAAACTAAAAATTACACCCATTTATTATTTTTATATGCAAGATATGTACTTGGATAAGAATTGTGTGATGTACTGTTGACATCATTTCTGGATGATTTCACTTCTCTCCTTAGAGTCTAGGGTCTAGCTTTAGGCTTCTCTTGTTTGACCCCATAGAGGACTAGTATGGAACCCACACCATTTAAAAAATTTGAGCCACCTCGTCACTCCTTTAAGTTTCGCATGGGCGGTCCTAAATCCTCGACATTCCGTTGAGTTGATTAGGATCAACACATGAAACTTGAGTCGAGTTCCTACATTAATAGAAGTAGCCCCTAGGGAACCCCTTCGCGACACGAACACTCGATAACGCTGCATTTTGCGTACTCAATGCACCACACACGACTTTGACTTGATTTGACTCATCCACCGGCAAACTCGTCCGTACGACCCCAGATGACGAAACAGACCGCGCTAACACGTCCGGAACGTCGACTTTAGCTAGGAATGACACCCATATTGCTGTGGTTCCACACTCGCGCGAACTGCACGAATATCGATGCACTTTTTTTTAGCAGTGCGCGGGCCCAGACTCAACTCAGGTCCGACTCGGGTTTGATTCAGGTTGGGCTTGGGC